TCCCCAGCCCGCCGATTGGCGGGTTGGATCGCAGGCACGCCCGGGGATTCCCCTGATCTCGCGGGGGCAAACACCAGCCCCCGCGCGTGTGGGAGGGGGTCACCCGCAACCCCCTCTCCTCGCTAGTTCGGAAATGGCTTTTTCAAACTGTTTGTATTCAAACGGGAGTGATTTTGAAACTTGGACTTAAGGCTCATTTTTATTTTTATTTAAAGACTAGGCAAAATCAACAATAAAACATGTCAGACTGAGGGTGTACCAGCTCAAATGGCATGCAGTCAGCTTTCTTTTATGTAACAGTGTGTTAGATAACCCCAATGACATTTTGTTTTTTTTTTTTTTAAATAAATTTTTATTAATTTTCCAAACACAAAATAAAAAAAAAGCAAACAATACACAATACACCGACATACAAACATATAAACATGTATAATTTCATAACCATTTTTTCATAAACCTTACTTTCCGGACTTCCCCATACCTCCCCTTTTCTGCATCCTTGTTTTATATTTTTTCAGCAACTCCTCAGTCGACTAATTATTCAATTCAATTTCTTTTAAATTCTTCTAATATTGTTAATTACAGCTGCAATTCTCTGTTTCCCAACCCCTTGACATTTTAACATTCCTGAATTTTACAACAAGTTCTAAGATAAACTTTGAATTTCTTCCAATCTTCTTCCACTGTCTCTTTCCCCTGGTCACGGATTCTGCCAGTCAACTCCGCCAGTCCCATGTAGTCGATCACCTTCGTCTGCCATTCTTCCAGTGTGGGTAGTTGTTGTGTCTTCCAATACTTTGCTAGAAGAATCCTTGCTGCTGTGGTCGCATACATAAAAACGTCCTGTCCTTCCTTCTCACCAATTGGCCGACAATGCCCAGGAGAAAAGCCTCAGGTTATTTAGGGAAGGTCCATTTAAGAACCTTCTTAATTTCATTATAGATCATTTCCCAAAAAGCTTTTATCCTCGGGCAGGTCCACCAAAGGTGATAAAAAGTACCTTCAGTCTCATTACATTTCCAACATTTGTTATTGGGCAGATGATAAATTTTTGCAAGCTTGACTGGGGTCATGTACCACCTGTACATCATTTTCATAATGTTTTCTCTTAAGGCATTACATGCCGTAAATTTAGTACCGGTGGTCCACAGCTGTTCCCAGTCAGCAAACATAATGTTATGACCAATGTCTTGTGCCCATTTTATCATAGCTGATTTCACCGTTTCATCCTGTGTGTTCCATTTCAACAGCAGATTATACATTCTCGACAGATTCTTAGTATTGGGTTCTAACAGTTCTGTTTCTAATTTTGACCTCTCCATCTGGAAACCTATTTTCCTGTCCTGTTTAAATGTCTCGTTTATCTGAAGGTAGTGCAACCAATCTCGCACTTTGGACTTTAATTTCTCATAACTCTGTAATTTAACTTTTTCCCCATCTTGTTCTAAAATTTCACAATATTTTGGCCATTTAGACTCCATATTAAGTTTTTTCACCTCTTTAGCTTCCATTGGTGACAACCACCTGGGAGTTTTACTTTCCAATAAATCTTTATACCGCATCCAAACATTATATAATGCTTTCCTAACAATATGGTTTTTGAAACCTTTATGCAGTTTTACCTTATCATACCATATATATGCATGCCAGCCAAATCTATTGTCAAACCCTTCTAGATCCAAAATGTCTGTATTCTCAAGAAGTAGCCAATGTTTCAACCAGCAGAAAGCCGCCGATTCATAGTAGAGTCTTAAGTCCGGCAGGGCAAACCCCCTCTATCTTTTGCATCAGTTAGAATCTTAAATTTTATTCTGGGCTTTTTGCCCTGCCAGACAAATTTAGATATATCTTTCTGCCACTTCTTGAAACAGTCCATCTTGTCCAAAATCTGCAATGTCTGGAATAAAAACAACATTCTAGGCAATACATTCATCTTGATAACAGCAATTCGACCTAACAAAGAGAGTTTCAACCTTGACCATATTTCTAGATCTTTCTTTACCTCTGTCCAACATTTGTCATAATTGTCCTTAAATAAATTGACATTCTTAGATGTTAAGTTTACCCCCAGATACTTTACTTTTTCGTTATCACTAAACCTGTTTCATTCTGAAACTTCTCTTTTCAGCCAATGTTAAATTTTTGTCCAACACTTTCGTTTTCTGCTTGTTCAGTTTAAATCCTGCTACTTGACCAAATATCTCAATTAGTTCTAATACTCTTTTAGTACTAGTATCTGGCTGTTGCAAGGTCAGTACTAGGTCATCTGCAAATGCCCTTAGCTTGTAATGTCTAGCTCCGACTTGTACTCCTTTAACCAACTGGTCTCCTCTAATCATGTTTAACAAAACCTCCAGGACTAATATAAAAAGTAAAGGGGATATTGGGCACCCCTGTCGTGTACCTTTTTCTATAGATATTTCTTCCGTGACCACATTGTTTACAATTAACTTTGCTTTTTGTTTAGAATATATTGCACCTATACCGTTTTCAAACCCTTGACCTACCCCCATCCCTTGGAGATTCTTCTTCATAAAGCTCCAACCAATATTATCAAAGGCTTTCTCCGCGTCCACAAAAATTAAAACAGCCTTCCTATTGATGTCCACTTCTAACAGTTCCAAAATGTCTATAATGTTCCTCACATTGTCCGACATATGTCTCCCTGGAAGAAAGCCAGTTTGGTCCTTATGAATCTCCCCTACCAACACTCTCTTCAGTCTTTTTGCCATAATGTCTGCAAAAATTTTGTAATCCACATTGAGTAATGATATAGGGCGGTAGTTTTTAACCTGGTTCTTTTCAGTTTCAGTTTTCGGTATAAGTGAAATAAAGGCTTCTTTCCACGACTCTGGTGCCTTTTTCCCTCCAAAATTTCATTACATACTTCCTTCAGTGGCTGTACTAACCATTCCTTCAACGCTTTATAATATCTGGCGGTCAAACCATCTGGTCCTGGAGATTTTCCCAATTGCATCTTCTGAATGGCACCCTCTATTTCTTGTCCTGTTATTTTCTCATTCAAAATCCTTCTGCTTTGCTCTGAAATTTTTGGTAATCCATGTTTCTTAACAAATTCTTCTATTTCCTGTTCGTTGACTGGCCCTTGTGCATATAATTTCCTGAAGTAACTTTGAAAACAATTACTTATCTCGTTTGGTTTGTGGATAATTTTTCCATCCACTTCTAAACTTGTCACAGTGTTCAGTTTTTGCCTCTTTTTCAATTGCCATGACAGAAATTTCCCACATTTATCTGCTGATTCAAATGTCTTTTGTCTCATTTGCTTTATTTTCCATTCTATCTCTTGATTCATCAATTCCATATATTGCACCTGATAGTGCTTTATTTCTCTCAGAATCTCATGGGACTTTGGTTTAGACCTCAATTTCTTTTCACCTTCTTTTATTTTTTCCAGAATTTTTTCTTTCCTTTCATTTTGATTTTTCCTCTTTATGGAGTTCTGTTGTATTAGGAAACCTCGCATCACGGCCTTACTTGCGTCCCAGATTATTCTTTTTTCCACTTCTGTTCTCAAATTTATCTCAAAGTAATCTTTCAGTGTTTTTTGGGCCTTCTTATAAATCTCTTCATCTCTAAATAGGGTGTCGTTCATTCTCCATCTAAAGGATCCAGTTGATGTTAGTTTCATCTCCATCTTTACAGCATTATGGTCGGAGCAAGTCTTTGAGCAGATTTCTACCTTTTTGATCCTTGGCGCCATACTGCTAGTTACCCAAATTTGGTCAATTCTTGTCCATGTCATTTTTGCTTCAGAGAAAAAGTTCCCTCTCTCTCAAGAGGGTTCCTTGTTCTCCAAATGTCAATCAAGTCCATAGTTTCAGTCATTTCAAAAAAGGTCTTTGGTAGTCTCCCTTCCTTGGAAATTACTTGTCTTTGTGCCTTGTCCATATTTGTGGAAACTACACCATTCATGTCTCCCATCATTACTACTCTATAGTCTAAATAGTCCATTAAAGTCTCATGCAGCTTCTTAAAGAATTCCGCCTTCCCGTCATTTGGTGCATAAATTCCGACTATCAAGATTTTTCTCCTTGAACTTGTATTTCAATTGCCAGGTATCTTCCTTGTTCATCTTTAAATATCATCTTTGGAGCCAATTTTTCTTTTGCATAGATCACCACGCCTCTTTTCTTAACTTTGTCTGATGAAATAAATTCCTGTCCAAGTCTCTTGTTTACCAATAATTTCCTATGTGTCCTGGTCACATGGGTCTCTTGTAGACATATTAGGTCTAATTGTTCTCTTTTCAAAATATGAAAAACTTGACGTCTTTTTCGGGGAAGGTTCAAACCATTACAATTCCAACTAAGAAGTTGCAGAGACATTTTGTTATTTAAGTACCTGTTCCACCGACTGCTCCTAACTTTTGTTCCTCTTCAGATGGTGGTATGAGTCCAAATGACAAGTTTGCAATGTCTGTCACTCCTTTTTCTTGTATTGTTGTTTCTACTGTTCCTTTCTGCAAGTCCTCCTGATATCTCTCCAAAAACTGTTCTTTATCTTGAACTGTTCTTATTTTGACCTTCCTTCCTTTGAAAGTAAAAGACAATCCTTGTGGAAACTCCCACCTGAAGGGTATGATATTTTTCTTCAGCAGGTAGACCAAATCTTTATAGAAGGCTCTCACCTCCAAAATATATTTAGGGATATCTTTAAAAATTTGTACTTGACTATTTTCAATCTCCAATGCCTTTTGGTAATGCAAGTTCAATATTTTATCTCTTTCTCCTTTGGATCTCAATGTGATCAAACAATCCCTTGGCTTCTTACCTTGCCTCCTGCCCAGCCGAAAAGCTGTTGTTATTTCAAGATCTTCTTCCTGCAGCTCCTTTTGCCAAAATTCCATAAAGTTCTGTGTGAGGAAGTCCACAAGGCTATCTCCCTCACTCTCGGGAACCAATCTCAATTTCAGATTTCTCTCTTTTCTCTGTAATTCCAGCAAAGATAGGGCTGCATCATGTTCATTCACTTTTTTTGTAATCGGCACAAGCTCCTCCCTTGTCTCCTCTGCAGTATTTTTGCACTTTCAGCAATCTTTCGTGTTTCAGAACTTTCTTGAATTAATTTATTAATAGATTCTGTATTAGATGTTACACTTGCAGTATTCAAGTCCAATCTTGCTGTCAGTTCTGTCAATTTTTTGAATTTTCCGTAGATAGCTTTGTCAGTGCTTCTAAAGATTGGTTTATTTTGAGCAGTGCCTGTGTCATTGAATCCATAGATGCTGTTGCCACTTTTTCCTGTGCAGCTGGTGGTATGCCAGATATTGAGCCCCTTTTCTTTTGTGTCTGTTTTGCTTTGGATCTAGTTGTTATCTCTTCTGCTGGACCACTCATATCCTCAAGGTCGTTCTCACAGGAAAGACTTGCAAGTGGAAAATCCCACTGTTTCTTTTTCACTATAACAGTTTCTCTTTATACCCTCTAGAGGGAGCATTTAATTGTATCCAAGTGAAGAGAGAAAGAACAAAGGAACATAGAGCAATCAACAAAAAATCCAAGAGTCCACAGTAAAAGTTTCTGTCGCACTTTTTCAGTATAGTCACAAGTTCAACAAAGTAATTCCATTAAAGTCCCGTAACTTTGTCTCAGACAAAACCCCAACTTTGTATCCAGTCTAAACTGACAGTTCACTTTCCCAGTGCCTTACTCAGGCAGTCCGTTCAGGGGATTTGGCAGTGAAAGATGTTTTTTTCCTCAGTTAATTTCAGGCAGATTAACAGTGTCCAGTTTTCTTCCCCCCTTCTCCTGCTTACTGGGGGGAAGTTTAAGTCAAATGTCAGGTTTGACAGCTCAAAGATAATTTTCTTTCAAATGCAGCTTTACTCTTTCGTTGCTTTAATTGCCATGCAGATCGGGGAGGCAGACTTCCTTAATTTATGCCTTTCCCGTTTTCAGCCAAATTTCAGAATTTAAATTTAAATGTCCCGTTCAATCCCTCCGTCTTACTCACGGGGTTTACAGTCGAATTTCTGGTTCAGGAAGGAATCGGCGCTCTCCGTTCATGGCGATGCGGCTTCACTCCACGAGCTGGGTTGCGACTCTCAGCACCGCGCTCACCCCCGATGCCGCTCCGTAGCCTTAAAAAGGCTCTTTCACAGTACCGGGGGGCAAAAGGTGCCCACCGAGTCTCCTTGTTCACAGGCTTCAGCGCCTGTGATTTTAGGGGTCCCCCGCTCGCCGTAGCGGGTCAGACCCGAACTCGCGAAGCAGTCCTCCTCCGGAGCTCGAAGCGAGGACCGCCATTAAACGCTGGCGCCGACCGGAAGTCCAACCCCAATGACATTTTGGGAGCTTAGGGAAGCATAAAGTCGGGGGGGGGATACATATCACAAATTATAAGCACATATATTGATATACCAATGGATTTATTAACATTGGTGTACTAAGTGAAAAAGAGAACTCAAGTAAATATTTTACAGCAGTAGTTCCTCTTCCAGAGTCAACACCATTTTAATGAACGAAATGTCAAACTGCCTTGTGGATATCTCTTCTGGTCTGTAAGCATAGGGATAGGTTGGGTTTGATGATATAGTTCTGTTACGTTAACAAGTTTATCCAAGGATTCCACCAGTCCAACACCTATTTCTTCCTCAGAAGCTTTATTGTCTAGCAGTGTTGGTTTTTCCATATAAATCTTTTTGATGGCTGAGAGAAGAACCTGTCACTAAAGAGAAAGAAAGGCAGATTTTCCTTGACTGGTTTCTTCCATCGTTCGTCTGAGAGAGGTCCTGCCTTGATTAGTGTGTCTGCCATGTGCCATTCTTGTATGGTGCATTTATCATTTCTACTCCTGTGAGGGAGCAAAGATGTGATAAGATAAGAGAAATGAAGCTTCAAGTTATCTTTTTAATCCGCATACCTGGGATTACTTTCAAAGTGTGCATTTTCTCTTATCTCAGAGGATGTTGCATTTACCTTGGAATACAGCATTCCAGGCTAACACTTTCCCCCCTCTCTTTTTTTACAAAAAGTGTTTGGGTAGATAACAGTGAAAAAGGCATGGGAGAAGAGGGGGTTGCAACAAAGGCAAGTGAGGATTGGGGCGGAATACAGATAACTCCACATACAACCTCACATTTATTATTTAATAATGAATGTGTAATAAATGATATTCAGCCCATTCCAATAAGACAAAAGTGTAATTGTTAGCAAAACAATATAATATACAGCAATATTTTTACCACATTTGTTCTTTAGCATTATATTTCATAAATAATTATTTGAATACTTTTTTTTTTTTTTACTAAAAGCAGTTCTGCTAGCGAGCGATCATTTTGAGGATTTTTTTTAGTAAGCTAATATTGTGTTTTTGAAATGTATTTTAGAAAAAGACTCAACCTTACTATGGGATTAGGATAAAAAATTAAAATCAGTATTTTGCAATATCATAGTTTGTCTGCCTGAAACCGATGAAAATTTGATTTAAGAATGACAGTACTCTGTGACAGTCAGGTAAATCCTCATTTAGATGGAATGCAAGCAAATACAGCATTAGAGTGTGCATATTGAATTAAAAGACATTTTGAGCAGGCCAAAAGAAGCAAGAGCTAATGCTAAGCTGAGCTCTGCTCTAATCAGCAAGCGGACACACTATGGAATGCAAGGAATTAGTAGTACATTGCATTCCTTGGAAAGAATCTATTAATACCATAGGAAATTGTTGCACAGCACCTTATGGAGGCAAAATCCAAGCTTCTGGCACAATGTTCCTGCCAATTAAAGTCATGTTGTACCAAAGCTATAATATGCACAATTTCAAAGCATAACTACATCTTTTAAACACAATGAATGTGTGTAATAGTTTTCAACTAACTTTTCTAATCTTGTTTCCTGGGGAGAGAAAGTCAGATTAGTAGCAATACATTTGAAATAATTATTTTGACATATCCATGCTCTCTCAATAAGCTTTTTAAAGTCTGTGAGTATTAAAATGTAGGTGCAAAAACAGGTATAAAATAAAAAAGATGTTGTGCCTTCTTCACCTGCGCTGAGAGCCAAGCTTTGGAACTAAGCTGACAGACCAGTGAAATAAAAATCAGTTCAAGCCATCATCACTTTGGCTTGTCCCTGCTGCTCATTCACTGCCTGCTTCACCACCTCTCCTCCTCTGGCTAGGGAAGTAATATGTAGCTTGATATCTGTGGCAACTTTGCATCTCAGTTATATGGCTGAAGAATCCAATGTTAATATTCCAAAAAGGATATTTGAGAGTGGAAATCTAAAACATCTTAACAGTGCAACATGCATTCACTAGTTCCTGGACTTGCACAGTCTTTTATCTGGCTTTTATCAACCAAGAAGGGCAAGGATCATGAAGACAAATGGTACACCACACCCTCTCAAGTAGATTGTCCATATCCTCAAGCAGCAACACTCAAAACTGTTCTGCTAAGACCAGATGGTACACTGAACACTTCCAGAGGAACACTTTCCTCTCAGTGGCAACTTAAGCTATACATTTATGTGGTCTGGGAACTAAAGGGAAGTTCTCTTTCTGCAGTTGTGGATTCATTCCAACAGGGAACTATTCTGATAAAATCTGCTAGTGGGACTCCTAGATTAGTTGACCTAAAAGACAGGTTTTGAAGCCTAGAGAGATGTAGAGATGTACATGACAATAGCTTGACTGCTGTACCTGGCTTAGGTCATTTGTGGTACCCGCTGGTAAAAAGAGCAGGCCCAAGAATTCTTCAATATTTTTTTCCTTTGTAAGGCTAGTTTCCTAGATGACCCATCCCTCCCTCTGTCTACCCAACAATATAATCTTTCTCTACCCAAATGCTGTCTCTGCTTCCCAGTCCACAAAAATGGTCTGTGCTGCTCATCCCATCCTTAAAATCTGAGTTCCTGTGTTTGGTATTTGATTTCTGGGGTTGGTGTGTGTTAGTAGGTTGGTGGGTACACATGCTTCCCTTCCCTTCCTGGGGAAACCTGTTTAATCTTTCAGCTGCTTTTAAGCAGATATTTAAACAATCCATTTAATTTGGTTAACAAACAGTTCCTGTAGTAAAGTTGGAATGATGATCTTAGGTCTGTATATATGAACCCTTAAATAAATTAACTCTGTATTATAAAATAAATTCACTGCAGCACAAAGGCTCCTTCAGACATTCCCTTTCATGTAATAATATCATGATAAGGTTGCAGAGTAGCATGATAGCATTCATGCATAGAGCAGACTTTACTGTTGCACTGACATATGACAGCAACAGTTGATCCAAACTGATTGACCTGGAGTAAAAGCAAGCTTGTTTTCTCCTTCTCTGGAGGTTAGTACCAAGGAAGGCGGTTCGGACTAAACGTCAGAAAGAACTTTCTGACAGTAAGGGTTGTTCAGCAGTGGAACGGATTCCCATTGGAGGTTGTGGACTCTTCTTGCTTGGAGGTTTTTAAGCAGAGGTTGGATAGCCATCTGGCATGGATGCTTTAGCTGAGAGTCTTGCATCACAGAGGGTTGGACTAAATGACCCTTAGGGTCCCTTCCAACTCTACAGTTCTATGGTTCATTGTGCAGGTGATGATTGCATGTTTGAATTATTCACTTTTTGAAAACAGAAAGGTAACACATTAGGGAGAAGGATAGGCCAGTACCCTTTCCCCAGGCATTTTTACATCACATGAACACATTATCTTTAAAGATGGAAGAGCTTTCGACTGTGGTTGTTACCCTACATTTGAAGTGGTACAGACTGAAAATGATTACTTTTCTTAAATACTTAATTAGCCCTGATGGGGAACTAAAAACCTATATACAACACCTGCTTTTGCAAATCAGTGCAATCCCTCCGAATGAAAATCAAATGACCAATCCATATTCTGCCTCATAACTGATCATGTGTTGGGGGGAAATCTGCCTCACCTGCGCTGAACTGCCTTTACTGGTAGTTCCTCTATGTGAGTCAGCTATGCATGTATGCAGCCTGCGAAACAGCAATATTTACATATGTTGGTAGCCAATCTAGCTAGTTTGCAAGGTATCTGTCTTCTCTGGGCCACCCAGTTTCATGGATTAGGGAAGGTTTTACTTCTCCTTCATGGTATTGAAAGGCAGTCATTCATTTATATGGGACAAAGTAAAGTAAATACTGTCTCATTGCTGCAAATGGAAGGAGGCTGGTAACTGCTTCCCAAAGTCAGCAGCAGGCTTGAAGAACTCACTGCCCCAGCCTATTTGCATGTCTTCTGTATGCATATTCTTGTATATGCATATAATATTATTATTAGAAACACAGACTTAATTGGAGGATTCCTTTTTTCAAAAGAAGTTTGCATGATTGCCTTTCATATGTAGATCAAGCCATACCCAATCAAGAAGCAAGTAATAGTAATTGTTCTTTTTTTCAATTTCCCATTTTATTATAAGAACACAGCTGTTTAGTATTTTTGTAACTAATATACTGTTCCCTCCCTCAATTTGCAAAGCACTGTCCTGTTGAAATGAAAACCTGAACCAAGACTCCTTTATCTACATTTAATATTCAACTGTGTCCCCAAAACAGCACCCATGTGGGTGCCTCACCTGCCCTGCTGCCTCCACCAAAGGTGGAGAAGCGCCACAACCAGCGGTGCCAATTTTGAATGAGATCGCGTCAAAATTGGGTGAGATTTCACCCCAAATCAGCTCGATTTTACCTGAAATTGATGCCAATGAAGGTGGCACTTCTCTGCCAGTGGCAGATACAACAGGGTGTGTGGTGGCAGCAGAGTGGGTGGTGCAGGCAGCGGCGACAGCAGCAGGTATGGCAGTGGCAGGAGAGGCGTCGCCCCAGATAGTTACACCTGTAGACATGTGTTAGTGTAATGTGATTATGGACACACAAATGCTCAGACACTGTGGGTGCTCTGCTGCAGATTTAGGTAAATGTTTATATTAGGCTCTGCTCTTCTGGTCTGGGGCAGCGTCTCAGAAGCCTTGGACACATCTGGCTCATCAGACTATTAATTTTACTGCAACTAGAAGGACTACTTTCTCAAATAACAGCACACAGTCTTTGCAATGTCATGCTAGCAAGATCAGATTATTAAAATACTGTAGAAATAATAACCGACTCTATCATTTACAGAAAGCCCAGTACTAAACACTCTCCAATTTTAACTGATCTATACCTTAAAAAAATCAGATGTCATCTATTTCATTATTAGATCGTTAACTATTTCCTCGTGTTTTATATTATGTATGATGAATTCTTCATATTTGAAGTATCTTCATTTTGAATATCTCGGATACGATGTGGCAAACCATTTGGGTGTTATCTTAAGAAATTCAATG